ACCGAAAACCAGCAATCGCATTCCTGGATAGTACAAGAGACGGAAATTTCTCAGTGGGAAGTACCGAATTTTCTCTCAAATCGACTTTTCCCATGAATAAAGCATTTAAAACAGGGACAAGTCTCTACAGTCACCTTATGCTAATCAGGCAAAATTTTTACCCAATTTGGTCTATGCTCTCGTAAGCGATCACCTCCCCTAAGCGACCACTCAGACGTGACATTTTGGGTGGTCGCTTACGAGAGGTTCAACTGTGTACATGTATGCAAGGTTGTTCAAGGTGAAACCCCTACCGTGGGTAGTGAAGATAGTAGAACAGATTGAGAACTATCTTGTAAGGTGTTTCCCTTTTCAACGGAGTTAGTGAAAAAAAAAAAAACTTGCCCAGCAAGAGTACACAAAACAGTAGCTTTGCAATTTGTACCGAGTAGGTGGCTATTAACCCTTTGAAGAAAGGTTTTGACCGCACAAAAGTATCCTAACCTTGCCCCCTTTCCACCCATATCACTCAACCCTCCCTCCTTACATTTTAAATTGACGCGAACAATCAGTGTCACCAGTGATTCTACTGATTTCATCCATTCATACTTGCTTCGCGCAATTCACAACACGAGACTGACTTATGGCTACGAATTCTAGTGAGAACACCACTGATGAACAACTGGTTGCTTTAAATGAAACACCACAACCCCTCGATCCTTACTGTTTTGTGGACCCTGACTAAGAATTTGAGTTTCAGAGCTCTAGCTCTTCTCTGGAAGATTTTCAAGGCTTCACTCGTCTAGACTGCCGACATGCAAGGCGTCAACTTCTTTTCCGAAGGCCTTCTGTAGAAGTAAGCGCGAGTTCGAGTGATGATGAAGAGGGTGATTTTTCAGGGTACACCAGGGAGGAAATATTTTTCCCAGAGGGTAGCAACAGTCGTGAGTTTTGTGAAAACCGTGGTGTAAGCACATCAAGTTCCAACCACAGCGATGATTCGGCGTCCGACCCTGGGCTGAAGGGAAGCCGGAAAAGGAAAAAAAATCCCAAGAGATGGCAGAGGAATGTGAGGAAGAGGGCCAGAGCTGAGGGTACCCGCTATAAAATGACATCTGGGAGGATCAAATCGCCGCGAAAGCAAGGACCACCATGCAGTTGCCCCAAAAAATGCTTTGAACAAGTTAGCAAAGAAGAACGAGAACACCTGATTATGCAATTTAATCACATGGGAACTCACGAACTACAGAACCAGTATTTGAGGGGTCTTATTGTTGCTTCAAACGTAAAACGGCGTGGAGCTGGAGGGAAACTGGGGTCGGCAAAAGACAAGCCAGGAAAAAGATCGACCTCTTTTGAGTATTTTGTTGTCACCAGCATTAACCGAAGGGTCAAGGTCTGCCGACAGGCCTTTCTCAGTATTCACGGTATTGGATACACCAGGGTCAAGAATCTTCGCCAGAGCGCAGTCTGCAAACCAGACATGCGTGGGAAGCATGGCAACAGGCCTAAGAAAGTGACGAATATCCATCTTCAAAATGTGAGAAATCACATTAAGTCCTTCCCGAGGGTAGCCTCCCATTATTCTCGCAATAGCAACAACAAGAAACGTTACCTGAAGGAAGGACTTAGCGTCCACAGAATGTACCAACTGTACCTCGAGAAATTTGAGCCCGCTATAGTAGTGCACGAACGCGAAGTTCATCGAGCTCGTCAGGAACAACGAAGACCCCCTCAACCGTTAAGGCCTAAAGTTTCCTATCGGAAGTATCTCGAATTATTTAATACCGAGTTTAACTTAGGTTTTGGAAGGCCCAGATCCGACACATGTGCGCAGTGTGAAAAGTTGAATTTAATTCTCACAAACACAGAAGATGAAGCAGAGAGGCAAAAAGCACAAGAAGATCTGAAGGCCCATCAAACAAAGGCAGACAATGGCTACAAGTCCAAATCGGCCGATCGAGAGCGGTCCAGGCAGAGCTGGGAGGGAAAACGTCGGGTAGTATCAGATGATATTACTTTCAATTCAAAAGATGCCATCGACATGATTACTTTCGATTTACAACAAAATTTGCCCACACCCAATCTCAATCATAACGATATATTCTATCTGAGACAATTATGGACCTACAATTTCGGAATTCATGACTGTGTCACAGAACAAGGCTACATGTTCATGTGGCATGAGGCACTGGCTAAACGTGGAGCATCTGAAATCTCCTCCTGCCTTAACACCTTCTTCAACCGTTTTCGCACAGGCGCGCGTTCCCTCGTGAGTTATTCAGATAGCTGCGGAGGCCAAAATAAGAACCTCACAATTCTTGGAATGTTAAGCGATCTTCATCTGGCCAATGTTTATCAATCAATTGACCACATCTACTTGGAGAGAGGCCACACCTACCTCGAGAATGACCGTGACTTTGGCATTATTGAAAAAAGGAAGCAGAGTGCTGAAGTCTATATTCCCTCCCAATGGTACCAAGTTGTCAGAGAAGCAAGCCTGAAGAAGCCATTTCAGGTAGTGGAAATGCAACAGGAAGACTTCCTCGATTTCAAGGGCGCTGTGGCACAGAGATATGCTCTACAGAACAAAGATCGTGACGGCAACCGCGTCCTTTTGAGAGAAATCCACTGGCTCAATTTTGGTTGGGGAGCAGAGATGGATCGCGAGGGAAGAAAAATTATGGTCCATCATCCCTATGAAGTGTGGATGAGGAGATCCTTTTCATCAGAGGAGCCCTGGATCAAAGTACGCCTTATTAAAAGGGAAAGCAGCGAAAATAACATCATCGCAAGTCCACCGGCACAGCTTTACCACAGCCAGATTCCCCTCAAGCCAGGCAAATTAAAGGATCTCAAGAAAATTGCATCCCAGCATGTAATACCCAATTATCGCGGATTTTATCTTTGTCTGAGAGGTGAAGGTGAAGAAAGTGATGATGACACCGAATACTCTGGCTCTGACTGTTCTGCATCAAATTAGGGGGGTTTATTATATGCTTAATTTTTAGGCCCGCGCAGAGGTTTAAGGATGGAGAATGATGCTCTAGAAATACAGGAAATCACGAAAAGTCAGAGCGCTTTGGAATAAGTCATGTATTCGCTGTTGTGTTTTCAATTCCGTCAAGGGGCCTCCACTACTATACTGAAAGGTCACGGAATCTCGATTTATTTGTTTATTTGATTTTTTTTAAGTCTCGGGTAAAACTTTGTCTTGGTGAACGACGCGTAAAAAGATTGAAATGTAAATCTGGAAATAGTTAATCGTGTTAATGTTGTTGGACGCTGTTGACATTTCAAAACTTCAATGATTTTAATTAATAAGTTTCGGTGATCCTGTTGATGTATGTTTTTAGAAATCAATAGCTGGTTTTCACATGACGTCACCAAAATTCGAACTACAAAACTATTGACATTCCTGAGATGTTACTTAAATGATGTATAAGA